AAGTATTGTAAAATAATTTTTTTATGTGTTTCACACCGTGTGTAAAATCAGTTGTGTAACAACAACGTTCCCTCCTGTTTACGTTAATGTCAGTATAGTAAAATTAAAAAATCGTTGATCGATGATTGATCAAAAAAATTTTCTTAATTGATCAAAAATCAATTATACCGGGCGGAACAGGTCCCTTTTTTTTACTATCTCCGCTAAGATTTATAGTACTTAATTTTAAATACAATTTATATATAATATTGCAATGATTACTATTTTAGTGATTTAAAAAAAAGGACCTGTATAGAGACTTTTCACCCACCCGGTATACTGTATTATCATAAAATTATTCCTTTAATAGTAAATGTAGGTCGGATAATTTCTTGTTATATGCTCAATTAATCTCATTGGATTTATTTGTTATGAAAGAAAAAGAAAAAGAAATCCGTTATAGGATGTTCCTTTTATAAATACCCCAATCAATCAATATCACGGGGTATTTAGCAAAAATATCCTGATCCGTATGTGTACAAGTGGAAACGAAGTTTCCACTAGTTTATTATAAATTATATATAAAATGCTGGACGTTTTCTGTCTTGTATTAAATGCAAATATGCATGCAAGGTTCTGCAATGACAAATATTACAAATTTCAAATCTTGGTTTACGTTACGTTACGTAATATTACCTATCCCGATGCAATGTAATGGGAAAATCTTTGCTACACAAATTCGAAAAATGAATTTAAAATAAGTGAAAAATCCGAAAGTCGTTATTTGTGAATTTTAGTTTTCATTGTCACTCATACATAAAAAAATAAAAAAATAAATAAAAAATAAGAAAAATTACTTCATATTACCAGAGTTGGTGGTGCAGGGAACTTGGTGACGCCAATGGTGCACCAGCTGGCACGCCAACACACAGGTATGGTGCAGAGGTGGCGAGCCAATCATATTTATATAAGGGAGCATGTATGTGTAAAATGACATACGCACGTGCGTAGACTTTCCAAATAACTTTTGAAGGATAGGTTCAGTTTTAGCTCGATATTGAAGGTAACTTATCGCAATAGGGAAATATAATATTAGTTTAATTGAACCCGAAAGTTCCCGATGTAGACAGTGAATGAACACAAAGATATGAGCTTATACAAGCTAAAAAGTGGAAGTAAATGTTCAAAAATGTCCGAAAGTAAAGGGTAATATAACAACGAAATATAGTTGTAATTTTATGTTTTTGTTAGAGGTAAAACAAAAGATAGATATATGAGCTACTAGCATCAGACAACACTGTATGTGTAGTATAATGGTGCACACCACGCACCAGATCTTGTTGATATATATGTGGTGCACCACTAGAGTTATAACTGCACCACCAACCCTACTGGTGATCATCACCGTATAGTTTTTGCTAAAATTTAGGGTAGTGAAAATGTGCATGTGCGCTCTGCACATTAAAATTTTTTGGTACAAAAAATATACAGATGTGCGTGCGCAAACACATAATTTTATTTGTATAGTCAAATAGCATGTACGCTTTGCGCTCTCATCCTCACAAAACTACACTATCGGTTTGTAATTATCGAAACATGATTATCAAGTCAACTGATATTGGTTTAAAAAATCATTTTAAAACAACATAAAATATTGCCTTTTAAAACATTTGCCATCCCTAGTAAATTACACAATTTAAACTCGTTTTTTGACCTTAATATGAAGTCAGTATATTTTTTTTGGATGCACAGATCGCATTTATTATTATCATCATTATTATTTTAGCCAAAATTTAATACTAATTAATTAACAAAGTTACAGAATCGCTTTATTTTACATAAGAAAAAGAATCTGTTCTAATTTATTTCATCTGTATTTGTTATTTGGATGACTTTGATAAAATTTTTAATTCAATATAAATTTGACTCTCTCTTCCGATAGGAATTGAATAAAATTTGCGTATTATGTGTGGAAATGACATGCACGAAATGGCTAAGTGCGCACATAAGAAATATATATGGAGTGAGTCAATATAAAAATGACAAATTTTTCTAAGTAAAAGTTTTCTTGACTTTAAGCTTAAATATTTTAGCAATTATCTTATCAAATTTAATAATTTTTTTATTTTATTTTAATTCTATATAATTTCAAAATTAAAATAAAAAATTTTTTAGCAATTTGATTAAATAGTTGTTGAGATATTTTAATTTAAAAATTAAAAAAAAATTTATTAAAAAACGATCTGTCCCTTTTTTATTGACTCTCCGGACCTTCCATTATAGCTAAACCTTAAATGATAATTTTCTTTTTTTAGAGCTTTAAAAAAAGTTTAGGCTTTCCGCAAGTGCAGAATGTGCATATCCGCAATTCTCCTTACGAATTCTATGGCGCATATTCACATTGTGTAACATATGTAACCTAATGCGATTCCACAGGCTCTCTTGCAGCAAAGAACATGGCGGCGCATTGAATTTTCATCGACATTATCGATCGTATCTCTTTTTATAAACGTTATTAGAAACAGGAGGAAAGATGAATAAGTGATAACGTTCAGAGAAACCATATACAGTTCTCATATGATCCTGTGGATGTTATCAGATTAGTTAAATTGCATATATAGCATATAGATATATACCGGTATATTATACATAATGTATATTTTTATATATGTAGCTAATAAAGAACCCTTCAAACATTGCCGGCAAATTTTCGGTCGACCAATGATTTGTGATAAGTTTTTTTTAACAAGAATGCTCAGTGTATATGTGGTTGATCAAACTTAAATGGATTTCCATATGCCAATTGTTTATACGTTTATAGTAGGATTTCTTAATTCATCACATATTATTTTATTGTATCTTCTTTTTTATATTGTCATGAAGTTACGACGATTTTACTGCACCACCAAATTTTCCTGCACCACTAATATACAAAAAACAACAAAAAAAAAAAACAAGTTCGCTTACAATTCCTCATGTAATACATATTATATATTTATTATATATATACCTTACTTTATTTGTTGACAGACACAATCGAATGGTTTAATGTAGCATCCCCCTATACTTTCGAAAATCTCTTTTCCATATATAAAAATCGACTCTTTCAGAACAATTTGATAACTCCAGTTGAAAAAACCTTATTAACAAACTGATATCAGATTCTAAAAAATTACTTAATAGTATGTACATCGTTATACACGAAGCGTTATTTCGCGTACGACAGTCGGACCTTATTTTTCACTACTTCATAATAAGTTATGCATTCTCTTGCACGTGCAATAAAAAAAATAAAATAAAACGGGAATGAGGGAGTTAATTATCTAGTATACATCCAAATATTTATCATCATATTTGTTAAACAAAATCCAAATTTGTCTAGGCTGAATAATTTGTCTGATTACACAATATATTTATATAATCTTTCCTCAGCACTTTCAAAAATCTTATTCTACATGTAACCGAATATCATTTTTGAAAATATCTATAAAAGTTTGCGCTTTCCATGTCTGTCTGAAATTTCAATAAGTCTTGAAAAAGTACAGCATCTTGAAAAAAAACCCCAAATTAATCGAAAAAATAATAGTAATAATCTATCCACTCAAATTTGATAGTTCCTGCAGAAAAAAACTTTAATAACAAACTGATATCGGACCCTAAAGATATATTCAAATCTGTTCATCAAATCTGTTCATTAGAGGTTCGTTATACAAAATCAAGTCATCTTTCTGTTAAACAAAAGGGTTACGATTAAAGCTTTTGAACACTCATTTTCTTTTAAACCGATAGCTTTAAAACACATGGCCTCTTCATCTTTTCAGTTTTCTTCAGACAACCACCAAGTACAATACCAAGAAACTGATCATATAGACTCATCATATCTTCAATTTTTTTTGGATAATTATCAACAAAATCAAGTAAATTATTCTATCTTTTATGTTCTCAGTTAACTATCAAGAACGATATCGGAAACTGATAATATGACCTCTTCATCTTTTCAGTTTTTTTCAGAAGATCATTCAGAAGTACATCAAGTAAATAATCATATAACTCCCATCTTCTCAATTCTCTCAGAGAAAAACGTCATCAGGAAACTGATCACATGATCTTTTCAGTTTTCTTTAAGGAATCAACAAAAACGATATCAAGATATTCATTCGGAGATTCATCAAGAGAGATATCAGGTAGATATTCACATGGTCTCTTCATTCTTTGATTTCTCTTTGAGAATATATATGCCTAAAGCTTGTTTCTTCAAAAATTGTTGATTTGTTTCGAATCACTATTCTGAGATGGTGAAATTTTGGGACAATAATTCAAAGTCATGTGACATTACCATAATGATGCTATTTTTGTAAATCTGAAATTTTTATGAACGCGTACTTATGCCAAATTTTCAAACTTTTACAAAAAAAAGCGAATTCAAATTTGCAAAAAAGACTAACCGATTAGGAAATTGGTCACATGATCTTTTTATCTTTTGAGGATATCGGGAAACTGATTATATGACTTTTATCTTTTCAGCTTCCCTTAGAGATTAATCAACAATATCAGGAAAATGCCTATAATGCTAAAGTAAATTCCTTTTTCGAAGAGCCTTGGCTCATTGAAAAAGAGTCTCAGCTCAACGAAAGAGAGTCTCAGCTCAATGAAAGAGAGTCTCAGCTCAACAAAAAAGAGTCTCTGTTCGAGGAAGAGAGATCTCAGCATAAGACCGCCATTGCTTTCCTTGCTTACCTCAGTAACTTATTTGGTAACGATTTCCTTCTTTACTATGTTAAGTTCCGAGAATCTTTACAGGATTCCCCGTCGTTTCTGGAAATGAAAGAGGAAGGGTGCAGCGGGCATCGTGCCGTCGTCCCACTGTGTCGATCTAGACGAAGAAAGGCGGTCTCGCGAGCAGTTCAAAAACAAGCTCAGAACTGTCTCACGAATGGCGGGGATGTATCACATGTTCCGGTACGCCGGCACGGCATGGACGTCGCTGCTCGCTACACGGTTTGGCCTAGGACGGAGCGAGGGAAAAGAAAAGTAGCTGCATGTGATATCTGTCGCGACCGAAAAAAAAGATGTGTTGGAGGTAAAGTCGGCGAGGAGCCATGCGAATATTGCAGTAAAAATAAAAAAGACTGTTCTTATATTAGATAAGTAAGTGTATACTTTCTTTTAGTTACAGAGTTTACAGTAGCAAATTACTCAAACTTGATAATTCAGTAAGTGTCAATAGCAACCGTACACATTTGATATATTCAGCAAGTTAACGAAGCTGAAAATAGCTTGAATAGATATTTATTTTCCATACTTTCGTCTGAGATTAAGATCATTCTTGTTTTTTATGAAAATTTCACCTGACATTTTATTTTTATATAATTTAAAATTTCGCTATATGTTTTTACCTGTATTCATTATTTAATTTAAAATTTCGATAGATGTTTTTACCTTTATTAACTTTCAACACCATATTTAATTCTTTATTTTAGTTATATGTATTTTACTTCTATGAACTTCAACACCATGTTTGTGATTATTGTATATTTTTATTTCTATGACTTTTTATGTGATTTTCGAACTTTTAAGCTAAGATTGATTTTTAACGAAAAAGGATATATACTTTAAGGGAAACAGAGATATTACTTTAAATAATTCTATTTTTGTCGCGAACACATAACAGCAATATTTATCTTATTTTGAAATTTTACTCAATTGAGTTCGAACATTTGGCCACAAATGTGTAAAAATTATTCCTATTTTTGAAATTCATTCGCTTGATAATATATGCATCTGTGATACAAACAAATGCTTTATTTTTAACCCTCTATAACCCCTCTAAAAAAAATTTTTCACGTTAAGCAACGCGTGTAAGTATCCTGGCGAAAAACTGCCTATAGAAAGAAATCAAGGTGTCACGAATTTGAAAGCGTTTTATATGCTAGACATCATTCTCTAGATCTTGATCGTGCTCATAACCTTGCTCATGCTCTTGATCAATCCGCTACGTTTCACTGCGGAGAATGGTGTATTTATAGGAAAAAGTTTGTGATGATCATTGTACTGCATATATTTAATATATAGCTTGTTTATTTTTATTCGTTTGCCCATCAGGAAGTTTCAGGAGAGGTTAACTAACGGTGTGATGCGTTGCTTAACAAACCCTACATAGTTTAACACTTTTTATTAATAAAATTAGTATTAAACAATAGAGATGTGATGAATAGCTATTCATTGGCTCTCTGTTATTTAACATTAATTTTATTAAAAGTGTTAAACTATGCAGGGTTTGTTAAGCAACGCATCACACCCTGTAAGTTAAATCTTCCAAAACTTCCTGATGCCTCTATTTTGTATGAGTAATTAATGCATCTTAAACAAACTTAATGAATTGATTAGTACTATCAGTACTTTGTATATAGTCGCCGTCCAAACTGTTTGGGACGGCCCAAATCAATGTTGTCACTGAAAAACCGCTGGAAGACCACTGAAAGTAAAATTATTAGCATCACTGGAATTTTTACTATGGCAAATCTCACTGGAAGGCTAGAAATTCCCATTTTTGGAAGCCAAAATTAACAACACTGGCCCAAACCATGTGATAATTAGCATCACATTGGTCTTAACCTAGTTTTAACCGCTTAATTCCTTATGTTAAACTTAGCTAAAACTATATGATGCTAATTATCACATTGTTTGGGATGTCCCAAATAGTTTGGACGGCAATAATATTTGTATATAGCAAGATAGTGAAATCCGATCTGTTGTATATAGAATAAAATACCATTTTGTGGCTGATTATTAAGAGAACAGTGGTTAATATGATTCCGCCTATCAAAAACCAAATAGAGAAAGTGTATATCTGTCGTTACGATTCCATAAATATAATCAAAGTATTCTCCAAATGCATCATCTGCCTTATATTTTTTCTTATTTACTTGTAACGCACTCCCGCATTGGACGAGGTTCTGGGCAAAAATAATAGCTACTTGATGCAAATTCCCTTCCGTGATGCAGATAAGTTCCTTAATAGCATAGTCTACACGACCGGTATCTTCTTCACACAACTTCAAACTCAGGAACTATACTAAACCCTTTTTTGGTTATTCTCTTGACAATATAGAGTGAAGCGTGAAGGATGGGTGAAATATATTCACACCACATGGCTTCGTTGCTATTAGCAAGTATAGTTCCCACGTTTCCCAACTTACGCTTAACTTCCTTTATACATTTTTGCAATTCATTATCGTCATATTTAAACGGATATGTTCTTAGAAAGGTTAGCTGGTAATGAACACGTGTAATGCCGAGACCATTCTGTGTTAAAAACTTGGTAAAAATTGACGGATAATACCTGTACCATTACCATTTATCCATGCTATGTTAAGATCTCTGTCAAGTATTTTTGAGTCTTATACGAAGAGAACGAGCGTTTTTTTTCTCTTATATTCCTTAAAAACTTTACCAGACATGATGCTGGTCCTACTTTTAACCCGCAATCTCGGAATTTTTGTTCGGTAAAAATCGAGAAAATCATCCCCAATTATTTCTTGGTCACGAATAATGTCGAAATGATGTTGAGATTTAACTCCTGGCATTTTAAAAATTTGGTAAGTTTATCCGTATCCCATTTTTTAATTTCATCTGTGTGCGTGAACGATTATTTCCATTTGCAGTATTAGAAGAAACTGGAGTACTTGCTTCAGACATTGTGGAGTTGTTTACGTTCCGGAGTGTTGGTGAGAAAATTCTGGCGCACGGATCTGGCTAATCTATGTCGATATGGGATGATTTTGACGCGTACATTTATTTTTGCAAGTAATACAAGCCCATAAAGGAATTTCGTATGTAGATCATAAAATCAGGTGTGGCGTTGATGTGCGAAAGCTTTTAATCACAGATAACCCGAAATTTTGTAGCGAAAGTATGTTTTTCTAACCCTAATCTTAATCTAAATTCGGGACTATCACGTGCTATTAATGTGAATCAACCAATAAATAAATGCTTTTGTATCGATTGCAGAAATAAGTAAATTCGGGTTAGGGTTAGTGGACAATTCTTAATGCACAAAAGGGGATAATTTTCGAAAAAAGCGATCGTTTTTTAATTCATGCTATATCTGATCTTTTCCTATGCTTGGCCAGAATCAAATTTGGGAGAAATTACATAACCATGTAACTTATTATAAGATAAATCATGCATAACTAGAATTTTGATCCTGATCCGACCTTCGGATTGAAATCCGATTTCCTTCGGATTCGATTTAAATTCGGATATAAAACCAAATCTACCGTATTGCAATACTCATACGATCTGTAATCACAAAGCATTGAGAACAAAAGTATGCCTAATCCTAAAAAAAAAGCTAGAAAATGCATCCCAAAAATTTGTAGTTTTTGGTGGCTTGTCTATTTACACTATACAAATTTCACTTTAATCTAATTTCGTTTTAACCTGCCACAATAAAATCCCTAGTCATCTGGGGCCCCTCGAACCTCCATCAGGCCGGAGATCTACCGGGTTATTTCCCGTAGTGAGGAATAAGAGCGTTATTCTTCGTTTCTATACGATGTCATCTAGGGATGTTACATCCCGGTCTGGTTAGTCTGGTCCAATCTTGGTCCGGTTTATTATAGTCTTCAGTTTCACAGCCATTATCATTATTCAGTAAAAATTATCCGAATGATTTTTCTGCCGAATCTTTTGTTAAGGTTTCATTGGTAAACTTTCCATAAATTTTCTTACAAACTAAACATACATGTTGGACAAACATTTGAATGAAAATTTAAAATTATAGCCTTATAGCATGGCATTTTCATCTTTTCAAATTTCCTTGGATGACTGTGTCAAGAGGCTGATTATATGAATCCATCTTTTCAGTTTTCCTTAGAAAATCATCAAGAACGATATCAGGTAAACGATCCTATCTTTCTAATTTCTCCCAATGAATCATGAAAATATCAGAAATTAATAGTGCCTCTTTATCCTTTCAGTTTCCCTCAGAGATCCATCAAGATGATATCAAGTAAATAATCATATGTTCATATTATCTTTTAGTTTCTTTCTCCCTGAGAACTGTCATTCTCGAACTTCTAAATGCAGGCATTGCAACAATCAGTATATATTTAGCATTAGGGATGTTACGGTCTCGGTTCAAAAAGACCGGTTTAGCCTTTGAACTGCGAATCGGACCGAGACTACAATCCGGTCTATTTGAAGCTTTCTGATTGGCTGCTTCAATTCATATAATTTTTCTGCTACGAAATCTGAACTTTTATATACTGTATTACAGTTGGTTTCCAATAAATAAGCCAATTTATTATATGTGTCGTGCTAAATTGGATATATCATAACCGATAATAAATAAAAAAAATAGCAATGTGCGTATTTTATGCACACACATTCATATGTTAAATTTTTTTTGTAATATTACAATAATGAATGCACTTGCGTATGAGATTATTACTATGAATTAGTATTATTATTATACAGACCAATTTATAGACAGGTTCAAAGTTATGAACCGAAACCGATTGGACCAGTTTATAAACCAGTTATAAACTTGGTCTTTGTTGGACCGTAACATCCCTATTCAGCATATTCAGCAACAAATTACCAAAACTAAAATAGTATTAAGGCTATACAAAATTATATTTTTGGTTCTCATAACCCGGCCGGGTCAACGAACCCCAACTAGAGAATTTTAATTTTTAGGCGCAGTAAAGAGCTGACCAATCAGAATCAGCAATATATACTTATAAAAACTGCATGTGAAACGTTTTTGATTGGGTAATACAATAATATATACAGTCGTCCTCCTCTATAATCACGCTGTTTGTTTTACATAACAAAGATGTGATTATAAAATTCTAATAGTAATGTGATTATATAGAGTGTTTTAATAAATATATTGCCAACAATTTTTCAAAAAATGGTGCTTATAAAGAGGGTGTGATTATATAGGAGGTGACTGTAGAGGAGGACGACTGTATAACGATAAAACTTTAATAAAAAACCACTAACGCTAACGCTACTACTTGTTACATTTCAATTTTACAATATTTAATTACAAGATTTTTTTCTATTATTTTTATCTGCCGGCCATTTTTTTGAACTTGTAGTTTAGTTATTACAAGTTGGATATATATTTTTTGATGCCATCTTTTCAACATCGGGACTACCACAAGTATAACAAATACTAGAAAAAATTTTGGCCGAGTAATATGGCTTTTCGATAGAAAAGACACACGTCCAAGAGTCATTTACAAAAATACGGGTAAAAAGTTCTTAAACAGGATCACTAATTACAACTTTAGTATTGTCACCAGCAAAATCAGGCTCAGTATTAGTATCTTTGCCTTGATCACTTTGATCCTCTTCCTCTTGATTGCTTTGATCTTCTTCTTCCTCTTCAGACACAAGATCGATGCTATTCTCATAATTAGACACAATAGTAACATCAAGATTGATATTATTCTCATCATTATTATTTTCAATTGAAGACTTGTCTATTTCAGGTGATGAAATATTATTATAACAGTTATTTGAGGATTTGGCTGATAATGGTACGGTTAAAGTTAACTCATTGGTATTTTTAAATGTTGTGTATAGGATTGTGTCCAAAGATTGGCAAAGTATTCGACAGTCATTATCTGATATTTTTTTGCACTAAATAGAAGCCATGGTTTGTTGCATTCTGTACAATTAACAGTTACTCCTATATTCTTAGCATGTAATGCAGAGGGGTAAAATGGCATTGTGTACTTTGATTTGTTTCTTTGTTTCATTTTACTAGAGTTTGATTGAAGTATTGTTTCTTGATATGTGTGTCTATACTTTTCAGTCATTGCAGTGCCATATAGTACTTCAAAAGACTTGTAATAAAATCATCTCCTGGAATTGGATCAGGAAGGCAATGAAGTTGATTAAGAATCTCAAGCAAATATCAAGGTAGTTTACATATAATACAATTATCTTTTCTACATTTCTTTATCATAAAAGAATAATGGTGAGTTGTACAACAATAGTTATAAAAGTATTTTAAGCATTGCTTAAAAAAAAGCATTATTAATTATTTTTTTTCATTTATATATTTAGTCACTTACTCTTTGCTTTATATGTTCCATTGTACTATCATTATAGGTTACCATTTCATCAATCTGATGAATTGCTTTCCAAAATTCATCTGACACAGTATTGTATGTTAAAAATAGATTATCTTTCAGACACTGCCTTTTGAATGCCTCATGAACAAGATTAATAGGATTTTGAATACTTTCAATAAGGTTATTTTTGAATGTTGGGTTTGATTCTGCAATGTTCCTAATTTCTTTTATTGTATTTGCTTTACTCAAAAGTTTTTCATAATTATTATCCATTTTACTATGCATTAACCTCATGCTTTGTAATTCTAGATTAAGTATTGACATTATGCACTCAACAGGGTTTTTTCATGAATGATATAGTAGTATTCTTACTGCTACAAGATAATCAAGGTCAAACTCCAGAAACAAACAAATATATAACATTTGAAATTTAACAAATGTGCATCTGTAATCAGGTCAACTATCTGTATAGAGACATAGTACAGGTTTGCTTGTTTCTTGTATCTAAAGAATATTATAGAGTTCTGTTATGTGTCATAAAGAGAAGAAAGGTTGATATTGGATCTTTTAAGCAAATATTTACCTTTCATATATAGAAATCACCTTCAATTGTTTCTGGGATGTTGTATAGCATTGTTACAATTGGTATTATCCCAGTTTTGGTAAAATCATGATCACTTACTGCAAATATAGTATCTTTTCTAACTATTACTTGTTTATCTCTATCTACAGCTACTACTGGATACCCAGGCTCTCCAACTTTATATCAGTATTTGTTATCAAGAAAAACAAGCATTGTTATATTATAAAACTTGATGGCAAATTTCTTCTCATACCAAAATAGTGCAGATGTATAATATACATCTTGATGATTTGCATATAGCTGCTGAGTTTGCACTATGAATTTTAATAGTAGATAATCTGTATACTGCAAACTATTTTTATATATTAGTTTCTTAGGCCAGAATTATAATCTAAACTACTGTTTACTAGAAATTTGCATATTGAGTAGACATTTTAATTCAATTTGTTAAAGTAATTCCTTTATTAAATAGCTGTAACAAGGTATACAATTAAAGCATAATAATGTTCATCAACTGCAGTAACTAAATCCAAAGCTTTTCTGCAAAAAAACTTGCTACTACATTCCAAAACACTTTATATTTCTTTGATTTTCCTTCATTATGTCTATGTAAATCAATTAATATATTAGAGTTACCAAGTTCTAGAGCCAATCTTATATGAGCATCTACTTTTGCCTCATTCACATATTCAGTAGTAAATATATCACCTAATAATATATAATAAATTGAGCTAGTTTTACCTTTGGTAATAGAAGGTCATATATATAAAAGTAATTCCTATATATAGTATGAATATAGTAATGAGGTGTATTATTTTGTAATTCTCTTATAATGCATGTATTTTCTTGTGCTATTTTTGTCTTATTTGCAATTTTATCTATTTTTCAAATTGAAATACTGTTATATACATTGTTATTTGCATTATGCTGATACTCTCCAATCTTAAACATAAATACTTGTTAAGGTTTTGTATAAATCAAAATCATTGTCTATATAAAAAAAATAGTAAGTGATATATATTTATTAAGGTTATGGTATAATTTTTTAAAAATCATTATATAATACCAATGAAGTTAGTTACTATTATTTATAATATTAGTGAATTTAGTTAGTATTATACTCTTTTAAAAAATTATATTATAACTATATTTTAATGTATTCATTTAAATTATGCATATTGGTTTTAATAGCAAATATTTTTTAATATTAAATAGTTTCTAAAATAGAAGCATATATAAAATCTTATCAAGTTCATAATATTTTATTTTATTTTATGGACTTATTCAAATATTAGGCTTATGAACTTTTATAGTTGTAGTCTGTTTAATATCCTGAACAAATCCTTCACTCCAATAATTAATTTCTGTTATTTTATATTGTTTTTTCAAATAGTCACATAACCAGAAATAACTACAATAAGTTTATCACATTCTATAGATAACCAAGTAAAATTCAAATATCTTATCTATAAAGATGTAGCAAATGAAATAAGTGATTGACAATAAAGACTAAGTTCATTTGCATCAAACAGCTTTCTGGCCTTTTTGTATAATTCAGGATTTGTGTAATTAAAAAATTTATAAAATAAGGCTATGCAAACTTAATAATTCAGTTTTTATAACATAAAATTTTTAAAAGTAACCTGGCAACCTGGCTTTTAATTTTATTTTCAAAAAATTTTATATATA